AGGTGCTGCTGCCGGAGCTCCCCGGGGCCGCCCCTGCCGGGTGATGGCCGAGGGATGCGCGGGCTGCTGTGTGACCCTCCCTGAGGAGGGTCGGTCGCCGAGGCATTGCGAGGGTCTGTCCCAGGCTCGGCGGGGAGGACGCAGGAGGAGCTCTCCTGGTGAGGCTGCTGAGACCTGGGACAAGGGCTTGGCTTCGAGGGAGAGGCGTGGTTTATTCCAGAAACAGCGTTTACTCTGAGGGGAGTTGTAAAACAAGTCAAGACTAACCTGTTTTCTTCACTTCTCCTGTTCTTAGTGATCCCTTATAGGTCAGTGATAATTCCCATCAAAAAACTCAGCAATGCAATAACCACATCAAACCCGTGGATTTGTGTGTCAGGAGAACTAGGAGAAACAGGCATAATGCAGATTCCTAAAAATCACCTAGAAATGACATTTGAGGTGAGTACATGCACTTTACATTTTACTTTGCAGCTTGAAACATGCTTCCAAATAAGCATTCATTTAGTGGGGGTTCATTGTCTTGAGATCACAGCATTTCAGAGTCTGCCCCAGGCATTCAAGGTCTCTGCACATTCAAATCTGCAGAATAGTGCTGCCTGCCCCTTCTGTGCTGGATAGAAACACCTGTGAGCTGTGTGTTCCCTGTGAGCACCCACCACAGCTTCTTTTCCACCCCTATCCCAGCCCAGAGGCTTCTCCTTTCTTACCTGGCCCACCCATTTCTGCATTGCATTTCCTTCCACATCTCCCAGACAGCTATCCTAATTCTCTCGTTCAGTGCTTAGTTCTAACTTCTCATTTCCCTTCCTAGCTTCTTTTCCCTTCTTTCAAATTGTCTTCCCACTTACTACCACGCAGGCCCCAAATTTCTTCTCTTTCTTTCTTCTGGCTGGTCCCAAAGTTCTCCTCTCACTTCAGTTCCTTGTCTGACACTGCTTTTCTTCCAAACAGCCGGTTTAACTCTTGTGTTCTTCAATATATCAACCTCACATGCTACCCCTGGCAAACTCCAGAGCCACCATCCATCCCTATCAGGCTCTTTTCTCCATGTTTGCTGTGGGTTTTCTCTTTGCATTTGATTACTTGGCATTCCCCTTTGCCTTCCCACCCATCAATTACAGGTTGGCTTGGTGCCACCTCAGAGCAGCTGGTAGCGGGAATTGCAGGGAAAGCCCCATCAGACTCCTGTAGCTCTAGGCTGTACCATACCCAGTAAGGAGTGATTTCATAGGAAAATTTGCTACTAAAACTAAAGATTCATCCATTGAGCATATGCAGACTGGTTTTTTCAACCATAGTATAAAAAACATCTTGCCAAATATTTTGACAGAGATACAGAAGATATTTTTGTGATACAATGCCTACCTCTTAGCTGCTAGTATTTTGTAGAGAAGACCTGCAGGCTTCTAGCAAGCAAAGTTACATACTTAGACATTTCTAAGGACCATGCTAACACTGTTCTGGAATACTCCTTTGGCTGAAGCTTTCCCTAAATATCAACTTGAGTAGCCACCCAGTGTGGAAAACATCAGCCCAAGCTGCTTGTTTGGCAGTATTAGAAGTAACAAAAACCAAGGTCTTGCAAGGGAAGTGTTTGGGTGACGTTAATAGATGTTTCTGCCAGCCCCACATACAATTACATATTGCACTGGAATTCAGTCTCCTGTTTGCCTTGTCTCTTTGTGACATTAAGAGTCTCATGTTAGTGATTTTCGTCTTGTCCCACAATAAGCAAACCAATCTTTGAAGATAATAAAGGATCTAGAGACTGTCTCCAAGTGTAGAGTGAGTCGACTGAAGGTCAATATGCTCAAAATGCATTTTTTAAAACCTGTTTGTACTGAAGATCTATTTCTTCTACAAAAGCACACCTCTGTATCACTTGAGCTCAGAAATATATAATTAACACTTCTCAAAAGTATGCAGAGTGAGTGCTCACAACAAAGAATGTAATCTCTTCACAGGTTTTTAATAGTTTTATTTCAAGGGGGTTTTTTTATGTGCTAAAATAATTATTCTGTTTTTCGAAACGTTCTGCATGTTTGCTTGAAAATACTTGCTGTATAAATCAAAGGAAACTGAATGAAAACATACATTTGGGACCATATGTGTGCATGTAGTGGGTGTGTGTGTTGTCTGTTGTTTTTTAAATTAAGTAAAACTGTTATTCATTTCAGTGCCAGAATTTAGGAAAGCTGACGACCGTTCAGATTGGTCATGACAACTCAGGGCTGCTAGCCAAGTGGCTGGTTGATTGTGTCATGGTCAGGAATGAAATAACAGGACACACGTACAAGTAAGCAAAAAGTTTTAATTTTCTTTGTCTGAAATTTCTGCTTGTTAAATCTAGAGAAAGCAAGAAGGTATTCTTCTTATCCTCAGTTGATGGAGTTGATGGGCTGATTACGGTACCCAGTAGGGTTACCTTGGTCTCCCCTACCCCTGGTTCTCTCATTTCAGAAGCTCTAGTTGAAGTCAAGTAACCTGATAAATATTAAATGAGAGCTGAACGTAGGATTTTCTTTGCATCTCTCTGAGACAGGACAGGATACTTTTGAAGTGATTCATATATTTGTGTCTAATAATTAAGTCTCTTGATTTAAAGTAGTATGGTAAAGTGCACAACTGAGCTCTTTAAACCCCCAAAAGCTGGAATGATAGTTTAGGGCAAACCTTTTTCTTTTTAAAAATATTCAAATATCTAAGTACTGTAACAAATGTACAGAAACTTGAATTACGAGAAAATAAAAGGGTTTTATGATTTCTTAATCTTCTATTGAGTATATACCTCTTGTGTAAAAATGATCTCCTAATTCATCATTGGTGTTACAAAATGTCTAAGCAGACTTAATTTTTTTTTTCTAAATGTGGACTTGTAAGGGGATAATTCCGAGAGGTGAGCTCCAGAGCTCAAGGTTGGCCACAGTGTATGGAGGGAAGTAGAAGGAATTGGCAGACAAGGACTGGGGGTGTGGACATGTGTATGGATTTCATTAGGACTGGGTCAAAAAGCTCAGCAATAAAATGGAAGGTGAGGTTTGAGTATGAGGAGATGTCACAGCTTCAGCTGGGTGGGAACTCTGCGTGGGGATCTAATTGTTAATCATCACAATTTTTTAAAAGGCTGAAAATCACTTGTGGTTACAAGTAAAAAATAACCCAGCAGAAATTGAAATGTGGCCCATGAAATATGTTCTTCATGCTTTTTGCTGTCTCATGCTTTCTTGCAAACTTTCCCTTTTCCTAAGGATGGAGGTGAACATAGTTTTCTGGTTTGGTCCTATCAACTGTGGTGCAGGGGAGGCAGTTCTGGTGTGTGAAAAGTTTCTGGCTACAGAGTATGTTCTGCCCTTTGGCAGTGTTTCTAGCTGTCCCTTTAGCTTTGAGCTAAAGCTAGAGTACCTGTGGCTGACCTGTGCTTGTGCTGGCTGCACGGCAGGTTTCCCTGCGGGCGATGGCTGGGAAAGGGCGTTGACGACGGCAGCTTGGAGCGAATACTCATTGGAGAGCTGGTGTCCTCCACCTCTGACGAAGAGCTGGGAAAACAGTGCCGTACCCCGCCCCAGCAGAAATCTCCTACCATGGCTCGACGACTGAGCATCACTTCCCTCACAGGGAAGAACACCAGTGAGTCCTTCCCTTTCTCCCCAGGGCCCAAGAGAAGGGGGCAGCAAGTGCTGAGAATTCAAGCTTTTGTGAACAGGACAGCAAGGCTTGGCAAAGAGGAACAGCCGATGAGTTTTTCCTGCCCTGGTTTGTGTAGACACAGCTTGCTCAGTGCCTGTACACATTGCCTCTTTCAGTGTCCCCATTTGACAGTTGGGATATAATAATCTCTTTTCTTGGAGCATGGAGATATGAGATGAGGGAGGAGGAGGCAGCAGAATTCACAGTAGCTGGTGCTGCTCAGCTTCCTGGCTCGCTTTGCAGTCAGTGGGAAGACAGTCCTCTCGGAAGGGCAGTTAAGATCCTGATGTGGATGCTGTGAACTGCTTTCTGGAGGAGTACATCTCCATAAGGACCCCAGAGGACATCAACTTCACATCCCTAAAATTAGCTTTTATGAGTAACTGCACCTGGCTAAACAGGACATGTGACTGTAAGGGCCACTTGAGGGATTCTCCGCTCAAGCACACAGATGAGCACAGTGTAGATCCTCTTCATAAATCTGTCCAGCTCATGTAAAATTAGAGGACATGACTGCTGAAATGTCAAGCAAGGAAAGATTAGCCTCCAAGAGTAATGCAGCATTTTAAAATCACCATGGGACCACTGCAGCTCTTCACATGTGTGAGTTCACATTAGCTGGAGGAGTGGGCACCAGAGCTACTTGCAAAGCAATTTCCTTACATCTGAGAACACTAAGGTCCAATAATGAATTTGTCTTGTGAGCTACGTGAGTCTCTGTGTTACACCTGCCAAAGACTGTGGAGGTCATAATGTACTAAAATGATACTGAATTACTCCCTGCTTCCAAAATAACAATTGTAGGACAAGCTAATAGCAACCTACATATGTCTGAAGAACTAGGAAGTACTCATAAAGGAACCATGAAAATTATTGACGACTGGAAAACATCTGCTTAAAATGGACTTTTAAAAGTTTGGTCTGTTTTAATCAGAAAGTGAATGAAGAACTAGATAATTTTCTGCAGGTATCTGCATAGGAAGATGAGATGGTAGGAGGTGGAGCCATAGTATGATTCAGTAGCAGAGGCATACAGCTAAACAGATTCAGAGCAGAGACATGGCATATGTTTTAGCACAGAAGATAACTTACCCTTAGAACCATTCATATGGAATATTCTCTACCTGTGGCCCTTCACACTTCTACAATGGTGAGATATGTACCTAAAATAGATATTTGGGGGGGGCTCAATAAAACACTGTGCGTTTAAGTAAGGAATTAATGAGTGCTGGGTTTTCTGTCCTCTGTCCCACAGAAGTGAGTCAAATGACTGGGCTACAGCCTTTCAGCCCGTATCTCTTGGTGTGAGGGTTGCTGTACTTTGTGATGAGCAAGATGTGATTATATTATAATATAATTATAATATAATATAAATAAAATATATATCAAGGCAGATCCTTGGGCTGTGTATTTTTAAGTAGGCGATTTATGTGACTATTCCAGGATTGCTCATCAGTTGCTTGTAATTAAGGCTCAGGTTTACCCAAGACAAGCATTGTCTGAACTCTGTTAAAGGTATAGAATAGTTTCTGCAGTTCAAGCTATGTCATCATGAGAATTTGTTAAGTGTTTTAAATTTGGTGTCTTCATCTAGTATGTTCTCCATCATTTCACAGAGCCTAATGCGGGACAGATCCAAGAGGGAATCGGAGAAGCTGTGAACAATATTGTGAAGCACTTTCACAAGCCAGAGAAAGAGGTACTTCCTGCTTTTCACTGCTTGCCTGGTATACAATGCATGTGTCATGACCCAGGCTGTAAATATTTTTATAAATGAAAGTGGAACTGAAATATACCGGTAGAGATCATTAACCTTTAGATTTGAAGCTTCTGGCATACAAACAAGGCAAGTCATACTTACAGACTCTCCCTTTCCCCCAGAGAGGGAGCCTCACCATTCTGTTGTGTGGAGAAAATGGTCTGGTCGCAGCACTGGAGCAGGTCTTCCACCATGGATTCAAATCAGCTCGCATTTTTCATAAGAATGTCTTCATCTGGGATTTCATAGGTAAGCTAGTCTGTGATTTGAAGGCAGAAGGAGAAAGATTAAGGCAAAATGACTACTCAGGCACAGACCTCGGACTCTAGGAAGCCTAGAATTTTGTTCCTGCCTAGCACCTGCTCCTGCTTAAAGTCAACGAGAAACAAGATGGAAGATGAGAAATACTAAACTCTACATAAGGGATGAGTGTGAATGTGTGCAGAAATTTAAGAGCACTTCAAATTCTAGTAGTTTATTCATAGGCAAATGGTAAAACAGCAGCTTTTCTACCCAGAAAGGAAGTAGGCTGGAGGTTGGGGTAGAGTAGCAGTCAGTGTTAGGGGGAGAGTTGGGAAAGGGCAGGGAGTGAAAGGTTTAGAAGGCTTAGTCACGGCACTGGTCCTCTGGAGATGTTTATCTGTAGGCCCATCTTGCAGTAATTCAAGATGTGCTTATTCCCTTAAAACATGCTCTCAAGTTGAGATATCTAGCCTGAGGGTAAGTGCTTACTCAGATGAAACCACTGATACAGACTCTGGTGCAGCTCCCTCATGTTACCTAACTGTGTTAGACATCAGCCAGTCTGCTGACCACTGCGATGGAACAAAGGTGAAGATCACCACCTACCTGTGGTCTTTAGAGTGAGGAATCCATATATAAACTGTGCAATAGGTCTCAGCAGGTTGTTTTCTTTAAGAATGCTCTTGTCATAATAAAGTACTTCTGCTCATTGAGTTCTCATTTTCTCCCTACCACAGAGAAAGTTGTTGCTTATTTTGAAACCAGTGACCAGATTGGAGACAATGAGGAGGCCCTTTTGCTTCAGAGATCTTCATGCAAAACCTTCTGTCATTATGTGAATGCAATCAATACAGCTCCAAGAAACATTGGAAAGGATGGCAAATTCCAAATCCTGATTTGTCTGGGGACAAGGTACCTAACAGTTGTTCATTACATGTGTCCTTATGCGTTAGACTAGAAGGATATTTTTACACCATTGTTATTACCTTTAGGTTTCCATTTTAAGACATCTCATACCTATCTATTATCTAGTACGTATTTTAGGCAGCTTTACTTACTACTACATGGAAAATGGGAGCAAAGAATCAGTAATGACACATGGATAGTTTCAACACTGCTAAAAATGTTTTGGCCTCTTTTAGAACTGTTAGCTTGACAGCAACATGTATGAAATCTGTCTTGAAATTATGTTTTTGATGAAGTGCTGGCTTTGGGAATGCAGAGTTCCTTTGCAAGAGCTGGTGCATTGCTAAATTCTCATTGAATCCCTTTGCCTATGCAAATAGGACGTCTTATTATTTTGAGCAAACTATTGTAGATGAATCTTTCTTTCCTAATAGGTTGCTTTCTGTTTTGCACTTGGGTGAGGCAGGGGGTTTAGCTGTATTTTGGAGGGTGGAAGTTGCTGTGTCTAAGAAGTACCATTTTTGTCTTGTCTGTCTGGATACATGGAAAACCAGCTGGAAAACAGCCTGTTATTTTTTCCCTGAGTTTTACTTTCCCTGTTCCTGATTTGAAAATGTTGCTGAATTCACACAAAGTTAATTATCCAATTCTGCTGATACCTTTCCATCTTCATTCCTACAGTTTGTTCAGTTCCCTGTATTTTACTAACAAAATCAAGGATTGTGATTACACAGGAAACTTTTATGTGCGAACAACTTGTATCACCCACAAAAAGAGACGGTGTGGTTTGGGTTGTGTTTTTGGAGAAGAATTTCTGTTCAGAGATCTGTTGTACTTGGTGCTGAAACCATTCCTTTCATCCTCTTTCAGGGACCACTTGCTGTCTCAGTGGATCCCGTTGCTGGCAGAGTGCCCACCCATTACAAGGATGTATGAGGAGAACGCTCTCCTACGGGACCGTATGACTGTCAACTCCCTTATCCGAGTCCTACAGACATTGCAAGATTTCAACATCATCCTAGAAGGATCGCTCATTAAAGGAGTGGATGTCTAGCATGGCTTTGCTGAGAACTTCATTATTCCTTTCCCAAGCAAGCAAACCACAATTGGAGACCTGTCAGGACTTGAACATGATGGTAGTGCACCACTGTAAAGCAAAGCTCTGCTGGGTGAAGCAGGAGTGGGAAGCCCAGTTTGTGCCCAATGGGAACTGTCCTCTAAAGCTGCAGAAAGCTAAGATGCAGTATTGTAGTTTATTTGAAACAGAAATTTAGTATAAAATAGAGTATTTTCATGTGTTAGATGTGTGTAAATATGCTATCTTCTTTAAGAAATTATATTACTCTAAGAAATTTTTCTTAGACTGAATGTTCTTGTTCTGACTATGAGTAGCTTAAACCCAGGGGAAGGACTGGGGTGGGAGGGGAAGGACTGAGGTGGGAAGTGATGCTGCTACTTGCTTGCAAGGAAGAAGCCACTCAATGTGTAAATACAGTGCAAACTCAGCAGGGCTTTTTGCAGGTAATGCAAATTAATACAGCAAATATCCTTATGTAGCCATTGTGATCGTCTCATTCTTGGAAGTGTTGTAAGCATATGCTGGTTTACCCTCCTGTACATGGTCTCCCTTTGGTTTTTTGATTTGTTTGGAGACTCGGCCCTTTCCATGCACGGAAGCTGTGAGTAGTCTTTTTTTTCCTCTAAGGTCTTGTGTGTCTCTCCTGTTGATGTCCAAAAGGAGACAAGTGTTGAAATGCTTAAACACTGGGGAGGAGGACTGCTGTCAGCCTCAAAGCTTGAGAGTATGAGAAGCCTCTTAAAGCAGTGCTGCTGCAGCCTGAGATTGGGAATGTGGGCTTGCTCGATTCGCTCGCTGTGTCCCTTTTCTGTCTAGGTGTTCTGATGATTCCCCCTCACCCTCAGCCAGCTGGTGTTGTGGATTACTTTTTGGGACTTTTTTCCCATGTTGAAGAATTTGGTTCATGCCAAATGCACAGAAACATCTGTTTGTGCCTCTGTAGCAATGATTTTTCTCAAGTAGAGCAAGAATTTGGTTTTCCAAATTTGGCATGAACCAAATTCTTGCTCTACTTGAGAAAAATCATTGCTACAGAGGCACAAACAGATGTTTCTGTGCTACTGAAGTGTATCAGGTGGTTTTTAAATGCTGACATGTTATGAGTCTTCCTTTATCCCACAGAAGGAGTGTTCCTAGGGAAGTACAGGATCTTTGATTACTTTTTTTTTTCCTTATCCAGCTACTAAAAAAAGAGAAGGAAATAAGAAAAATGAGGGGGAAAAAATAATCTGGTATTTTGAGGCTCCTCTCCTAAAAACTCTTTCCAGGTAATTTGTTAATAATACAGTATATGTCTATAGATACAGCTCTTGAAGAGGAACTGGGAGCAACTGAAATGCTATATGCTAAAAATGGAACAATAGATTACATTAAAAGTCATCTTGTGGATACTGTGCAGCAAATACGGAGTATATGTTCCATTCTTGTGGTGGGAGTTGGAAGAATCTGAGGGCATATTTAGCTTCATCTGTTTTTAGTTTTCGGAGGTTAGTTTAAATATAGGTGTTTGTTTTCACTTGTTCATTCCCTCTGATCTTGGCCTTTCCGTCAGTGGATTTCTGTGGATGTCTCACTGTCAGCTGTGGCTTGAGAAAGGCCCCAAACTGGTACTCTTAAGTGTACTGTTTTGCTCTGTGCTCTCAAGTGGCATTAGGAGGGACTTGGGAATGGTGGGCAGTAGCAGGTCTCAGCAGGGTGTGCGCGTGGTGGAGAGAGAGGAATGAGAACTTAGGAAAAGGAAAGAGGATGAGAATCAGGGTTTGCTTTCTCACCTGCCTTTAGTCAACATTCTCTGCTTTTTCTCTCGTCCTTCTGCTGTCCAGTTCTTATAACAGCACTCACTTTTAGCATCAAAGTTTCACATTGTATTTCCAGCCAGAAGAAAGCTCTTCATGTGACTTAATTTCATTAGAAGGAAAAGTTTATGTTATGGAAATTGTTTTTGTTATTGTTTGTTTGTTTGTTTTTCTCAAAGAAAGAAGTAAAATACCACTGTCAGGGAGACTTGAATGAGGGCTCCAGCTTTTAATAACAATCCTTTCCTTTTGGGCTCGTACTTCCTTAAGCTGAATAAACTCATCCTAAATACTGTAGGCAGCACTGCCATGTTATTGCTGTGGGTGTGAGTAACTAACGTGAAGGCTGTGAATGATGTCATGAGTTAGTTGCCAGAGCCCACGGCTGTGTGGCATCTCTCTTGCAGTTCCAGAAATGTGAAATTTGGGGTGTTAGGGTTTTCTGCATGGCCAGGTGAGTCTGGTTCAAGTCAGCAGAAGATGCATGACAACCCTTCAGCAGCAATTGAAAATGCATCCCTAGTACTTAACTCCATCAGTAAATTATACATTTAGCTCCAGAAACCATGTGGTAGCATAATTTGGTAATGGCTGCTTTAGAATGTTTTGATTTCTATTACAACTCAAGCCTTTTATGTCTAATGACTGCTATACATGATGGATTTTTTTTTGCCATACCTAACCCAGACTAAGTGACTTTCATTTCACTGAAGTAATAACCTCTTTAGTCCTCGGATTTCTTTGCAGTATCATCTGCATTTACGAGCTGGATACTTCTCAAAAGTATACTATTGCATACTTCTCCAAAGACAATTTATGACTTCAGCAGTCATGACACTGATGGCCATAACATGGGTTAAGTGCAAGCAGGATCAAGTAGAAAAGTGAACATCTCTAAAGGTCGAGCATAGATGTGTAAACCACACACAGAGAAAAGGGCAATAACTACATAAAGCCTTCTTAAGTTAAAATAAGTCCAAACCTGAGAAATTTTAAAATTCAAAACAGGGCCTTCCCCCATTTAAACTACATTAAAGAACCTTTGGCACTTAATTGTAACACAACTTCATGTCAGCTTTTTCAGCAAGCATTGACTTGTTTGGTTTTGTCAGGTTTCACATCATATTAATAATAATACAATAAAAATTATGTATGTCTAATATGTCCTTGTAGGCAATAAAAGCACCCTAAGATATGTTGAAAGGGCACAGCTGAGTGCCTCAGATTCCTAGAAGACTAGTGATTTGACAACCTTGGGAGTGTATGGTTCCTTGTAGTGAATTTTTATTCTACCACTTTTTTTTTTTTTTTTTTTTAAATAAAATGCATGAAGTTTCTCTTCCTCCTGGCTATGCTTAATTTGAAAAAGTCACTTCTTACTGAATCAAGTGCTCCAGACTGCTGTTTGACATTTATAAGCTTCTGCAGGTGTGCCTACCTCTCTGGTGTTTCTGTACACTTGTCCAGATAAGTGCACAATGCTAGGAAGAATACTTGAGGCTGCTTTTTTGCTTGCCTTATTTAATTTTTTATAATTTTTTTTTTAAATTACAGTATTCACTTATGGAGAACACTCTTAGATAGGAGTAAGGAAAACATAATTTGTGGGAAAGCATCCCTGTGAGCATCTTGTGATCTGCCGGCAGTGTTACTGAGATATGGTTTGTTGCTTTTGTCTGGGAAGGTGGGCACATTTTGCCACTGATGTTTTAATGCAAGTAGACTACTTTGTTAATTGCAAACTGTGAGTTTTTTTCTGTAAAGTTTACAGAAATCATTCTACCCACTAGAATGGTGAGAAGCCCATCAGGATTCTTCTAAGCTAACACAGTTTTTACTTCAGTGTTAAAGCACCTTCACTGGTTGAGAAAGGGAATCTTGGAAAAGACCAAAGCTCTCTGGTATCTGCTTTTTAACAAAAAAATAAAATAAATCCTATCCAGTACTTGTCTGCAGATGTCTGAGTTTGCATCATCTTGTTATACTAACATCCAGCGTGGTAATCTGGAGGAGTTGGAGAATCAGATGCATCACTATTGTACAAAATGTGTATTTATAATTCTCTGAATGAATGAAATTCTACCGTTTAGTGAAAAAAAAAATAAAAAATAAAATCTACTCATGTTTATTCTGAGTCGGTTTGTGTGATTAGATATCATTGTTCCAAAATGTCTTTTTAGAATAGTTGTGCGATGGCATATTTGAGACAATTCCTTCTTTCAACCAAATGAAGGTGCACATCTTAAGGGGAAATACTGTATGTGACACTTGAAATGTACAAATGTGCCCTGTATAGCTAAAAATGATCCTTAAATGTCTCCATTAAGTATATTTTGTCTTTACATTATTACTAACTGAATAAGAACTGGATTATTTTCAAGATGACATTAGTCAAAGTATTGTTATATCAAGCACTTTAACATACATATCACAAACTGACATGGGTTTTTCAGGTTTTGAAGTACATTGAAATACAGCTTTTCATGCTATGTCCTTTACAAATAAAACTGTGAGAATAATGGTCAGTGTCACTTTCTCCTTACAGAAGAACTGAGAGATTTGAGTCTCAAGCTGAAGAGCTGATTTGAACCTGGAGGGCATGTTTCATAGAGGGAACAAGTTGAACAAAATGCTTCAGCTGATAGTGACTCCCAGCACTGGGAACTTGGTGGAGCAAAGAGGGGGAGAGAGGGGATGTGAGGGTCTGCTCTTGAAACCTGCCCTTTTGCTGCCCCTGGCACTACAGTCTGACTGTGCCAAGCCTGCTCAGCTCTTTGTTTTCAAGGCTTAGGTGGAAAGTGTGGCTGATTGAAGGGAAGAAATGGGATCACAGTGAAGTTTAGCTCTTAATAGGGTAGTGTCCTCTAGGCAGCCTGGGTTGCTCTCCCTCAGTATCTGGAGTGTGTGGGCCTGGATCCTGTTGGCAGCAAAATGGGAAGTGTGGAATTAACTACAGCTGAGGGTCTCTTTCCTCTCTTCACATGGATTACTCTGGTATTTGAACTCAGGGTTAGAAAGCTGGAATGAAACTCATGCCTTTCAGTCTGTCAGCATATCCTGTAAGAACAGAGGTGGAAAGAGGCGAGATGGGTGCTTTTTGAACCAAGAAAGGTTCAAAAGAATGACAGTGAAATGTCCTGCTTAATTATCAGGCATTTTAAAGTTGGACTGGATATTCAGAAGTTCCCCCACCCTAGCCCTCCCAGCTCTAGTTCTCCTGGAATTGGCACAAATAAGAAAACCTCTGAAAACTGCACAGATGAAATGCTGTTCTCTGGATGTTTGTGTGCATGGTGTGTGAGGTGGGGCATGTCAGTTCATTCATTTTAATTCCTGGTTTTGAAAAGGCAGATAATCTCAGGAGAA